CTTTCGTAAAGCGTATAACCTTGTGCCATCTGCATCTTCTCCAGCTTGCTCTTTCTCCTCTCTGAACAAAGGACGTACATCAACCCCGCAAGGTTCTTACACTCGAGCTGGGTTTGTAGCGCGCTGATCTTTTCTTTCCTCTCCCTGTGAGCTTCGCATAGCATATAAGATGTACGTATCTGTTCATTTCTGTCGCAGATAATACAATAAAAATATTTGTTTCCATAAGTTTATTAAATTTTGTAAATTGTTAATACGAATTTCATAATGTATATGTGAATTGGACAATGATCTATTTAAAATATAAGTGACGGTAGTATGTATTTACTTACTCCAAGATAAAATCAAATCTTTCCTTTAAACTTTGAATCTCTCGATCTAATCTTCTTTCATATTCTTCTCTTAGACTCTCTTCTTGCTCTTTCAGTAATTCATCGACTTCATCTTTAGATATTTGTTTATTCTTCTGTGTGAGACATTTACATCGTGGTGTTGATTGTACGTTGTACTTCTGTACATTAGCGTCTAACTTTACTGATGAAGAAGTTGGTGACAGCTGCTCTTCTCTAATCACTGCTAGAGTTTCCCCGCTCTCTGACATTTCTTTACGCGACATCTGTGAATTAATTGATTCATAGATTTAAAGGTTATATTTTTTAATATTAAGTGAAGCCAATGAGTTTTTCAACCTCCTTGGTTTTGTAATCCTGGCAGAATTATAAAAAAAGGCAAAAGAATATTGCTGATTAAAAAGTTTGCAATTGCCTTACTTTTTGAAATTTTTGAAAAGTTTAATTAAAGCGACAAACGACAACAGTTATTTAATTTTTGATGATTTTTTTTCTTTAAGCTGATATTAAGATTAAGTTGAGTATTACTACGACTTGAACAAAATCAACAGGACAGCTACATATTCAATTTCAACTGTGTTAAAAGCTGGGAGGGATTATTAAATATAACTACGTAAATATGACATACAGAGCGTATGAATTTATTTTATTATAGTCGTTACAGTGACACCTCGAGGGACGGAAATAAAATGTATGGGTTTTAAAAATAAACTAAGCAATACCAACGCGCATAATTCTTTTATTTTCGAGCACGCTCTTATAAGTTATTATATTAAAATTCAACACGTGTGAAATTATTTTTTAACATCTGTAATATAAACGGCAAAGGGATTATTTAATGTAAATCGTACGAATTTTTTTATCATTTCACGAGCTTATAAACAGTTTATAAGTACAACCTCAGTGGCGCTTTCTAAATCATAATTTGGTAACTTTGTTATGACCGTTATTTTATGAAAGAACCATTAAATAAATATCTATTCTAAATCCGGATTTATTCAAATCTTTAGATTATGAAGTAACAAAAAAAATTTTACTTGAAAAATACTTTATTTTTGTAGTTATTATAATGGCAATGGCAACAATGAGATTCCAATTTTTGCTGTCGTCTGTCGTGCGTGAAGTTTGTAGCATGTGATGTTTCATGAAAAGTGTTAATTTTTTAAAGATTATAGTGTTAAAATATGGACTGAATTGTGCCTGAAAGTGTCGAAAAATAATTATAGTGTTTGCTTCCAGTGGTGTGATTGTGGTATATACAGGAATTACATAAAATTCGAATTACATGGATATAGCCGTCACTTGAGGTTGTAAAAGGTTAGTGCTTTTTTCGTCTGTTGTTTGTCTTAAAATAGATTCTTGTGCGGGTTGCAATGATATTTCAGATTTGTTTGTGTAACGGCTTCATGTGACTTTTCAGTTTTTTCATGGGACCTTGAACTAGAAACTTGTAGGTGCCTTTTTTCGCTATCAAGGTTAGGTTAGCGCGCGTTTTGTCACTGACCTAATGTTTATTTTGTTTTATATAATTACTTGCAAATTAAAAGATTATATGCAAAACATAATTATAATTGCGGATGTGCTAGATTTATTATTTTTTTAGCTAATAATTCTATTCTCGCTTAATTATTGAGAACAGTCGGCACACCTAACCTATACGAGTTTGAGCTTATTTTTTGTGCAGCTTTTTACGATTGAACGTTTAACCGTTATCTTTAGTAGAGCAAATGCAATAAGGAGTACTAAATAGTGCCGCTTTAGCTTTAAAAGTTGAAATTCGCTATTATTATTTGTCGGTTTTGGGGTTGTTTTTGCATTTTGACAGTTAAGAAAATAACAATGAACACACGACACATGCATGGTAATGTTGCGGTTAAAAATGTTTAATAATGCGTGGTGGTATTAAAAATTTAAACTTTAATAAGTGTTAGTGTTTAAAAATGTGGCTGAATTATAAATTTAAAGTGTTTGATTATAGTATAAAAGTGATCTTACATTTTAAACATATGGTAACCATTTTCTATCTCTATTTAATTTGTATTAGTTGTCGCCCGCGACTCCGGCGCGGTATTTAAAACTTAATTACTAGCATATGTGTTCTTCCATGCTATGTTCTACATCTATGCCAAATTTAGCGGAATCCATACAATCATTCTGGAAATACCTTGAAACAAACATCCATCCATACATTCGTATTTTTAATGTTAGCAAGATTACTAAAGTTCTATATTATTTTGATGAAATTTATGTTTACAGTTATTGGTAACACTATAATAGTATTTTGCTATGTATTTTTACTGCAATTGGAGCACATCTAATTGTGTGAAATTCTTACTTAAAACATACTCGATATAGTAAGTAGAAAGATCATACTAATATTATAAATGTGAATATTTAGATGTATGGATGTTTGTTTGAAAGTATCTGCAGAACGGCAGAACAGATCTCGCTGAAATTTAGCATAGATGTAGTAAATAGTCCAGAAGAGTACATAGGCTGCTTATTAATTTTTTTTTCTAATTCCGTGTGGATGGAGTGTGGGGGATTGCTAGTTGTATCATACAAAAAGCCTTTTTGCTACAACATATGTTGAATAATTTAGGATTAAATTATTGCAACATATAAGTACAAATTGATGCAACATGTTTATTGTAAAATACAGATAACATATTGGCATAGGTCAGACCAAATATGAATATTGAATAAACACATTGAAAACAATTTCTATTTGCTCGTAAAAGTAATTTATCTTAGAATCATTTCATAACAATTGAACCTGGATAAGCAACAGTCCGAGGTACTGGAATATTTTTCTCACTTATTCTCTCTATTCTGAGATTCATGCTTATTGAGGTTGTCCATCGGAATTGCATAATGGCTCTTGTTCAGAGGTTTCTTGCTTATCCAGATTCAATTCTAAAGTAGAAAATTGATGCACATGACAAAATCTTAGCTTGTAAAAGGCTTATAAACCCTACAATATTGGTTAAAACAACTGAAAGTTGTTACATGATTAATACTGGTCACTTTAATGTTGTTTTTAATAGATTTTCACTATATTGTTAATATTTAAACTCTTTTATTGTTGATATGGGCAATTAATATTTTTACGAACTTCTGTTGCCTTGGTATTAGTGTTAAAATAGGTTTGTTTTAAGATTATGACCCGTAAAAACATTGTTATTAATGTAATTTACTGGAATGGCTAGAATCTGTATTAGAATTAACCATATAATTTATCTGAACAATTGTTACATATGTTATTATTTTTTTTATGCTTTGAAATTTATTACAATTTGATATACTCAAATTTTAAATATTGTTATTATGTTTGCATCGATAATGTTTGACATTTTTATTAATTTTTTGGTAATATATAGATTATTAGAGACAAAGGAAGTCTTATAAATATTGTGGTATTTATACAAAGTATATAGGCTGTTACTATGTTACAATACATGAAATGCTGATATGATATATTTACTGTGTATTTTAATATCAGCATATTAACAATGGGTGTAGTATGAACTAGTTCTTATATATTTTAAAAATCTAGATAATTTTTGATATGTTTTTGTCATAAAACAAATGCTCTACTTAAGAAGTCTTGCTAATATTGATATTTCATACAAAATAAACATTAGGAACCATTAAATCCCAATTAAAATGGCAGTAAAGGTATGCGTTAATTGTATGCGCCTGCGCAGGACGCACCGCACGTACGGACCGCAACGGATTTTAGTTTGCTTTGATTATACAAGCCACCCGCATCGAAAGACCGCATTTAACAACAAGCAATCCATCAGTGTTCAGTTCTAATGTACAACCTCCATAAGTACGAAACTTGGTTAAGACAAAAGAATAAGTGAGAAAAATATTGCGGTTCCGTGGGCTCTTGCTTATCTAGGTTGCGGTGCGTCCGATACGGGCCAATGTACGTGTACCTTTAGAGTATATAGTGAAATGTAAGCACTGTTCATAGGTGACTGTTAATAATAATGTTTTCAAAGAATGTTCCATATCAAATGTCTTTAAAGAATATCTTCCAAGTACTTAAATGCAAGTTTGCAAAGTATCAAATTAGCTGCAGGTGTCAGACCGATTTAACTATAGCATTGTCATAACAGTACTTAGGAACAGTTTATGTACTTATATGTTTATTATTTAAGCTTAATGAGATGATTTACGTAAAAATCTTATGATACAATGTTATTTACCTCCTCCGATTTGTAAGATTTTTATGAAATTTTATATACATATTCAGTAGCTCTGAGATTTAGGCTACTATCTATTTTATTCCGCGCGGATGGAGTCGCGGGCGACAGCTAGTTATAAATTAAAATTGCTACACTCACATAATTATTTGTTGTTTGTATTATAACAATATTGAGCTCATTTGAGGCCCTTTTAAAGTCGGCTGAAATGTTTTGTTTGTGATGGTATATAAATTCTGTTGCAATTTGATAGATTTTACTAAAGAAAAGTGAACTGTTCTACATTCTTGTAGGTAGTGCTTTTTCTGTCAAATCACTATTTTTTTTTAAGAGAATAAGACAGATGAAATTATGTTTTTATACATGTTTTGTGGCTGTGGAGACTTATGTGAAATTACTATTGTGCCGAATATTTAAAAGAGTTTTTAATCCTTTCCTCGGACTAAGTCTGTGTGTACAATTATCAATTTATCTATTATACATACCTTATTGTTTTTTTGTTTGTTTTTATATTTTTTTCAGTCTTTATTTGATACACTTCATTTTGTCAATTTGACACAAAACACATGTTTGTCATGATGTCAAATTTTTTTAATCATTTATTATTTTTATACTGGCCAGTTATAAAATTCTATTTGGCTGTGATTAAAATTAAATTATTTATTTATTAGCTGCCGCACGCGATTCCGACCGCGCGGAATTAAAAAAAAAACATAATTAGTAGGTGTTCTTTCATAATATATATTTGTATGCCAAATTTCATTGAGATCCTTTCGGCTGTTCTGGAGATATAATACCTTCAAACAAACATCCATCTATCCATTTATCTAAAAATTCGAATTTATAACATTAGTAAGATGGGCATAGACTACAGATCAAACTGTTGTGAGTTTGATTCCCACCATATGGTTACAAGTAATATTAATTATATAGCGGTTATACTCCACTTAGGAAGCAGACTAACTTATGTTGCATACATGAGCTACCTTCCATTAAAGTCCCATCTTGCGGATATACAGAAAAATATGACTTATTATTAATTGTATAAATTACAAAGTTTTTAGGTGTATTACACAAGGTATTTTGTTTAAGTATAACAATATTGTGCTACTTTGTTTTGCAGTAATCAGCAATAAAATACTTATTCTGCAGTTTTTTGATTCACTTAACAATTATATTTTGACCAACATATGTCATCTTACTAATATTATAAATGTGAATGTTTAGATGGATGGATGTTTGTTAGAAGGTATCTCCACAACGGCTTCATAGATCTCAATGAAATTTGGCATAGATGTAGAAAAGTCTAGAAGAACACATAGGCTACTAATTAAGTCTTATTTTTAATTTCGCGCGGGCGCAGTCGCGGGCGTCAGCTAGTTGTAAATAAAAGCCTATATAACAAAAAAGTGTGATAAACATTTTGACATGTTTCTGATGTTTTAGTCTAGATATTTGTAACTATTTAGTAAAAGCTTATTAATAAATCATTTTTCATTTTTCATTTTTTAATTTTTCATTATTTAATCCTAAATTGTATGCGAAAGTATACATAATTGTTATTAATTTCAGATATGGAGTCGCATATTCTGAATATGTACCATCAACCACGTTTCCGTTCAATCGGTCATAAGATACTGCGGTCCACAAGTGAATCACTATCTTCTGAAAGCAGCTGTCAACAGAACAGTCCGGAATATACACAGGAGCAACAAACCGATCAGTACGAAGAGGGAAGCAATGAGGCAGAATATTGGCAGCCACAGGAAAATCAGGGTCAAGTATGGAATAATAGTAAAAATGTAAATGTTAGTAATTCTTTTTCAATGTAAAATTAACTAAATGTTGAATTTTTCTTTAATATATCTTTATGTTAACAGTGTGTTACTGAACAATCAAGTCAAGACTCAAGTTCTGAGGAGGAAGACAATGTACAGGACAATGAAGGTCTAGACAGAACAGCACTAGATGTTAGTCATATAGAACAATTAAGTATTGATAACTGTTCATTAGTTGAAGGCGCTGATTATGATGTTATCCAAGTGTATGCTGTACATCCAGATTTCGATCTTGAAGCGTCATCAGAAGAAGATGAACAGAATGATTTTTGTATACAAGATAACTCTGATGAATCAGATGCAGAGGATAAAGTGGATAACATTCAAGACACGAATGAATCATCTGATAATGATAGCGAAACATCTGGTACAAGTCATGACAGTTTAGGTATCACTTTAGATACACCAGTAGTTTCAAATGTCGATGAATATTTCATTAAAGATACAAAAGATAAGAATATACTGGATGTAAAAGATGAACCTGTTGTTAAAGATGTTGATGAATATTTTATCAAAGAAACAAAACGTGTATTAACTCCTATACAAATTGAAACGGAACAGAACGTTCAAAGTATAGCTAATATAGATGATTTATTAAATAAAAAGCAATCAATATCATCAGCATTCCACATACCTAAAGTAACACCGATAATAACAGATATATTTGAAACGCAAAATGTTAAAGACGAAATAAATCAAGATTCGATAGATGTACAAGATCAATCAGACGAAGTACCTATAGCTGAAGCAGTTTTGGATATGCGCGGTAATAATATGCCAAGAATGTTTAGAAATGTTGATGATATAAAAAAATTTCTATTCTCAGATATAAGTGATACCAAATATAAGCATGCACAGAAATCATGTTCTGTACCACATTCACCAATGCATAGTATTTGCATGGACATCGATGCTAAGACTTGCATGAGTTTCGAAGATCTTAATCTTGATTTAACAGACATAACATTTGATAGTGACAAAGATAAGTCTGCCAACAGTTCTAAAAGTGATGACATTCCACGTACGTTAACTGATGAAGATGTTAATAGCTTTTTGATAACAAATAAAACACCACAGAACAATAATCTGAACACAATGAAAACAGAAGACGATTTTAATCCACAAGATATGGAAATAGATGGATCAATCGATACTTCTATTACTAATATCGACGATATACCACCAATGAAGTTATCTAGAACCAATTCATCTACACCAATTCCAAATGTATTAGAATTCTGTATAGAAAAATCTCCAGTTAAAAAAGAAAATGAACTTAAAGTGGAAATAGATGATTTTGTAGATGTTGAATCTTGCAACGAAACTGTTAATCCAATATTTGAAGCAAATAATGCGAAAACTCACTTTAAACCGATCGATTCTGACATTAAAGCAAAAAAATCAACGATCAAAATAAATGAACAAAAAGTTAAATCTTGCAATGCTTTAACTAATGGTATGCGACTACAAGATGCTGCTTTACAACTGAATAAGAACAAAATGAGAAAAATCATGGTAAGTTTTGGTCCTTTTATTACAACTAAAATCTAGGATAGTTTAATGGAGGAATTATTCTAGATTTACATTATTACAGATGCCGACTTCAATAAATACAGCCGTCAGACGTTCACCAAGTCCAGTTCGTTCCGATCACGATTACTGTTCGTCTAAAAAACGTTACAATCTCAGTTTGAAACAGGGACAGAGTCTGTTAAAACCAGAAGTTTTATCGAGTAATAATAGAATTTTAAATTCTAGACATAGATCATGCAAGAATAAGAAAATAGTCTACCATTTGAGTAGCGATGAAGAGAGTGATAAATGTAACAATACTAAAACGAAGAAAGCTACAAATCTTCGTTCCAGTGATGATAATGATGTCAAATTAAAAAAATCCGTTGTAAAACAACCTATAAAAGCAACGGTTCCATCGACTTGTCGCAAGAAAACATCACCAGTGCGTAGTGCTAATGATACGAGTTTTGGTAAAAGCAACGATTCTGTGATTGTTAAAAATGCTTGTAAAGCAAGTGATAATCCTAGTAGTCAAAGTTCTAATGGTAGCATTAAGTTAACTATAAAAAATAAATCTGAAGTAATCATTAAAAACTGTGATGATAAAGACTATAAAAAAGATAAAAAAAATGAAAAAATTAAATCGGTAAATGTTGTAAGCGACAAAACTAATGTTAAAAATAATACCGTTAAAGTAATCGGGAGTGTAGATACTAATAAAAACGAAATTGTAAATAATGACGTACATAATACTAGGATAAGTATAAAAGAAGAAACTAAACCAGAACATTTTTATGCAGCACTATTTAGTAACAAACAGGATGTTCTTATGCCGAATACGATCGATGTAAAAACAGAGAAAAGATCTCACGATGAAGATTCCACACAGTTTAATTTGTCAGAGGACTTTACTAAAATTGAAATGGAACAACCACAGAAGAAGAAGAAACTAAATCTACAAGAATATAAACTAAGGAGAGGGGCTACTTCTAACAATAGTTCAGCGACTGTCAGTCCAGAGTCAATATTCCCAGATATGCCAATTCCAGATATTGCTAAAATTGTAAAATCTACAACAAGTCAGATTCCTGCAAATCCAGGCTTAAATTGTCTTCCAAAAACTGATTTAGAAGCTCCTAAGAAAATCTTTGATCCAATTAGGGAGGCATCTAGAAAAATATTGATGAATAATAAAAAACAAAAAGCTGAAGCTATAAGAAAAAGGGATGAAGATATCGTAATGAGTAAAATACCTAAAGTAGAGAATTTGGAGTTACAACCTCTGATTAGTGAAGCCGAGATGATGAAGATTGCTGGCATGGCAACTGATATCCTTCCAGTACCATTAGTGGTTGAGAAAGTGCCACAATTAAGCGACTACGATGAAATAGTCGTAGTTAGTATTGGAACTAATACAGACGAGGAAGTGTTTAAGAAAATCGAATTAGAAATTGTAAATGAAAAGAAGGCACAACCTCCAACAGATATAAAATCAACGATAAATTTTAAAATCAAGAAACCAGATCACGTTCTTAAGCACAATATCTTTGATACTGTTCAAAAAGATAAAAGTCAAATTGAAGACAATAAAGACATAAAATTAAACCAAGACAGATATAAAGATATAACAGCTACTTTGAAAAGTGTAGAAAAACAAGTCGAAACAAAAATATCTAGCAACTCGTTGTTTGCTAGTATACAGGATGTTGTTATGAAAAAAGCACCCGAAGTTACCGTTTTGGCATCGAATAACGGAGACCATAAAGCTAAATCTAATGGAATAGAAAAGAAAAACAGTTTTAAAGCACCCAAGACGTTCATTATACGAGAATATGACGTTCAAGCAGAACATGGAGAGGACAAGATAATATTACATTTAGAAAAGCAAAGAACAAAACCTAGTGCTTTAAGTATAGCGATTCAAACGAATCCTATGCCTAAAATGAATAAATCTAAAATAGTAACACCAGAAAAAGTTGCCAGTCCTAAAGAGGAACCGTCCACGAATAGAAAGAGAAACGACAGTGACATGTCAATGTCCAGTGAAAGTAGTCCGGATCGTACGAAGATTGATAATAAAATCGCTAAAATAGATGAAAAAAGTATAAAATCAAAATCTGAAAAGAGAGAAAATATCGCGTCGCATACGAAAGATAAGCGATCGAATTCAAGAGATAGATACGATTTCAAATATCGAAGATCTAGGTCGACATCTCGTGGGCATAGGAGAAAACGTTCACCAAGTAGGAATCGTTCTAGATCCAGAAGTAGATATAGGCGATACAGAAGATCTGATTCTCCATACAGAAGGAAAAGGCGATCGCGTACAAGATCACCTTATCGTAAACGTAGATCGCCAACACCTAGACGTGAATATAGGCAAAGATCTCGTTCAAGATCCAAACACGCGGAGCCTAAGAGATCAAAAAGTCCGGCTAAAAGGACCAGACCTAGTCCTCAGTATGAAAACAATATTGCTGATAAAAAACCTATTTCCCTAACTCCACCATTAATACGAAAGCCAACTGTCTCAGAAAGCTCCGAATCGTCCACTAGGTATGTATAAACGTATGCATGTGTTTTTAAACGAATTACGAAAAAAAAATGAGTCGTGAGGTCAAATAATTAAGACTGTCGTAAGTATGAATCTTTTTATTATTTTGGTTATATTTTTGCAGGAATTTAGTTAAATTAGATCTTTCGAACAAGTAGTTTTAGTGTAATTAAGGTAGATTTTCATGTAAGTTATGTTAATCGTATGTTTCCTTAATAGCAGTAGTTCGTCGTCTTCGTCCAGCAGTAGTAGTTCCTCTGAGGATTCTGTCAAGTCTCGAGTTTCCAGTACATCCTTCAGGAAGGAGAAGACGTTCACTAACAATTACAGAAGATCATACAGTTCTGAAGATGGGTAAGTTACTTTTTCTAGATTCATTCTTATATTATTCACATCTAGAGAAGTTTACATACATAAAAATATAAAAAACGCATTTTATTGCCGTAAGAGAGAAAGAGAGAGTCATACATAAAGCCACTACGTAAGAGAGAGACGTACAATCCTAGCGGCCGTTATAAGAAACACAGTTCTATTTTAATAACAACGCCATCTATCGCAAAATGATTACTAAACCCTAGGAAACTATTTCTAGGGAGAACAACACACCAGTGGAAGAACGTCGTATAGTATTTGTGGGCAAACTGGAAAAGGATTTAAGCAAAGCCGCACTTCGCGCCTTGTTCAGCAAATTCGGTCCGATCACTGAAGTCAGGATACACACTAAGGATGACGGGTCAGTATATTCTACCAAATTAAGTGACAGTTTCAGCTTTGCTAGAGCCTTGGGAGAAATTTCTACGACGCCCGTCTTGTCCTTCTATGGCCCTGGGCGAAATTTCCACGACGCCCGTCTTGTTTTACTATGGCCCTGGGCGAAATTTCCACAACGCCTTTTTTGTTTTACTATAGCCCTGGGCGAAATTCCTACGACGCCCGTCTTGTTTTAGACGCCTTTGGTCGGGTTAACAGGATTAAGTCAGACTGATATCTCCTATGGTGGCCCTTTTTGACCAACGCCCTGGGCGGTAGCCCTACTCTAACGCCGGCAATTATTTGATTTTTTCTCACCTTTCCTAGACCTTCACGAACATTTCAATACCAAGATAAGATAAATCCGTTCAGCCGTTCTCGAGTTTTAGCGAGACTAACGAATAGCAATTTATTTTTATATATATAACATATTTGTGTGTATATAGGTCTAGGTACGGTTTTGTGACGTACCGTAAGTCACGAGACGCGTGGTCTGCCGTGGAAGCAGCTGCCACCTTCCCACAATATGACGTCGGCTTCGGAGGCCGCAGAGCATTCTGCAGGCAGACATACTCTGACTTGGGTAAGTTATTCAGATTTTATTAAATTATACTTTGTCGTGCTTAAGTTACAGCCATCTGTCTTTTTTTATCTTTGAAGTTGTCAGATATTTAGGGGAAGTTCGGGTAAAATGACGTTTGATTTAGTAAGTTAATTAATACGCAAAGAAAGAAAACAAATATTTTATTAAATTAAAATTCACGGATAGCAACGATATGGTGGCCTATGTCCAGCAGTGGGCATGTCATGGCTGAACAAGCAAACTAAAATTCATAAATTTAATCTCAAATATTATATTTTCAATATTGCAACGTATCCACTATGACCGGACTTCTTATTTTCTTTCTCTATATTCTTTCAAGAAGACCAATTCAAACCTTGTGTATGCAAGCATATAATAAAGGTCATCCCTCACTCTTATATTTTTTAAAGTGTCGGGGATTTTTTAAAAATAAAGGAAATATGAGGTTAATTCAGGGTTTTAGCACAAGTATTACCCTCTCATATCAAGTATAGGGCGTAATATTGCGATCCAAAACGCTTAATAATATATACTGTAAAAAAAAATACATGTTTTTCTTTCTTAAAATGTCTAAAAAATACTTTTTACAAGTAACGATGTGTTATCAAATATGTTTTGATAATAAATTGCAAATAGATAAATATATTACGTATAGTTTTAAACACGTGAATTTCTATTGATAATATAATCTATATATATTGATTATTTTCCATGAATTGTTATGTACTTTTATACATTGGAATAATATTTAAACGAAAGCCAATTGACCTTGGATTTCTGACACGAAAATATCTGCATAAAATATATCTTTATCCCTGTCTTTCATCTTAGACAAAACAGAGATAACAATATGTTTTGAACGGAGATTATGGACTTAGAAATCCACAGTGAGAGGTATAAAAATATTAATTTGTTAGTAAATACACTTATATCTTTATCATCATCAGCTCATTATACGTCCCTACTAAAGAGCTCAGAGTCTACCCTAAGTTGAGGGTGATCAGGCCATAGTCAACCACACTAACCAAGTGCGGGTTGACTTCACACATATCTTTGAATTTCTTCTCAGATATGTGCAGCATCACTATGTTTTCTTTCACCGTAAGAATGTCGGATAAATGTACATATGTAAATCAAAATGAAAAAACACATTGGTACATGGCGGGATTCGAACCAAAGACCTGCAGTTACAAGTCAATACTTAACCCCTGAGCTACTGACGCTCTTTATATTTAACCGATAGTTTTCATTGTAATAGTAACTGATAAAAATCGAGAAATTACTGTACGTGACTTATGTACATGTTAAATTTAACTGCCGGCTGTGAGTTAACAATCTTAGTAGCAGATTAGATAAAATTTGATATTGAACTAAGAGATAAACACGTTTTTTTGAATCTAGCCAGCTCAGGCTAAAGCCACGCTAGTTTATAAGACAAGGAATTCAATCTGGTCATTTTCTTATTGTTTCAATTTATAAAAATAATATAATTATTTAAAAAAAAAATCAACAATTTATAAACTATTTTTATGGATCCTAATAAATACTTTTTCTTGTACTACTTATTTTATTAGAAAAAAATAATTAACTTTTATATTGGTCTTTGGATTCGATTATAATTCTTCTTTTTATGATGTTGCAATATCAAAATTCTAAATTATGAAATGTTTTAACAGATGGCCTGGAGGCTAAATATTCAGAGAGCGCATTTCTGGGGCAGGCGGCGTTGCCCGCGCGTCGTAATGACGACATGTCCTTCGAACAAATGCTATTGGACGTGAAAAAGAAACTAAATCAGCGCAAGGGCGATAAAAAACGTCACGATGAATCAGTGGCTTGACATTCACTTGACCTTTGCCTGAAATCCGCGGGCATATGTCAAATCTTCGCCTGTCAAAGTGACAGCCGGATTGCGCGGGCTTTTAGTGCAATGTTGACAACTGTCAGATTGACATTTCATTGTGATGTAAAGAGACTTTGTTCCGGTGTTGATTTTGCTCACACGATGTACCTATGTCTTTAGTTAAATTATGTTTAGTACATTGTTTGTCACAGTTTAGTTGAATTTACGTTTTGTAAATATTATTTTATGTTTTTTTTTCTCATACGCGTACATTTATGTATAATTTTTGTTAACGCTACCTCTTATATTAATGCAGATTGCCGAGTGAATTATATTTCTATTGAATTATCATTCGTATGAAATCAAACTCATTTTTTGTTACAAAAAAAAACAAAGAACAAATTTACATTACCGTATTTGTTAATAAATTGGTGTTCATTGTACTTCAATGTCCATTACATTATTCCAGTCCAGTGGATGAATCAATCTCTGGTTTTCAACTGGAAAAATGTAAAGCCACACTGTAGCTACGGTATACGTTTTGATGTAGTTTTACTTCTTTCCAGTGATCATTGGAACACTGGACTGGAATTGTGTAAAACATATTACCAGCATTGATAAGTCATAGTTTAAATAACCAATACTTAATATTAACTACTGAATGTTACCTATTATCTTAAAACACTGTTATTCTAACTATTTAGTAGTAATCTTTCATCATATGGAGGCGAATTAAATAAAAAAAAATTATAAATCTTGTATTTATAGCAATTTCTTTCGATTTACTTCCATTTTGTGCCAAATGTTATATATTTTTTCAAATGCAATATTTGTTGTTTTGAATCGGCATTTGTACTGTTCAGTGGCTCCCAAACTTTCGAATAAATTTTTTTGGTCATCGAAACAATATTTAAAAAAAAATAGCAATTTTTTAATTGTGAATTATTGTTAATATTTTTCAAACAGTTTGGGAAACACTTTTCTTATTTTTAATGTATTTGTCATACATGAATTTGAATGGTATGTACGGAATTATAAGCACACAGGTTTTTAGTATTTTATAAGTGCATATACAATATATTGATTCTATGAAAGTTTTGATACATTGCGAAAAAAAAATGGATTTGATTTGTTAAAATTTCGCTAGAAAAGTACATATTTGTTGATGGACTATTCACAAACAGACAGACCATTTATATGAAAACATTAAAAATACATAAAAGACAATTTTTAATACGATATATACCATTTACCATTAATATATAGGCACTAATTAATATAACATACAATTTTTTAAAAGATTTACGCTTTTGCTATTTTGTAAAAAAATAAAAATAAAAAAACTATAAATGTCAATGAAATTAAAAAAAGTGCACACGATTTTTTTTTAATTAGCAATCTGCATTAGGTTAAAAAGAATTGAAAAGACTGTTATAATATTGAAAATATTAAAATTTTAATATGAAAATGTCATAATATTGTCATATTCGACTTGTAATATTTATGACAATATAACACAACTTTGTTGAAAATAAATGCTACTTTTGTTTCTTTATTTTTCTTTTTTTTTTAATTAAAAATATTGTAAATATAACAAAAATGTGCAGAAGAATTGAGAACCTCCCCCTTTTTGAAGTCGGTTAAAAGACTTGACTTGGTTGCTTCAAAGCACTTATTTTGTGAGGTTACCCTAATAATTGGTAATAAAAGTTACCATTTGGTAGCTTTTATAAAAATGAAATAAAATTCTGTCTACAGAGTTTATAAATCAATACGAATAGAGTGCGCAAATTAAAGAAAATGCTTACGAAAAAAAAAATATTTTTTTTGTGTTGTCAAAAATGAAAAAAAAAAAACAAAAAATATTTTTGTAATACTCTGGCATTAGTTATGGGCCTTTGGCTTATTTTAGTCTTATAAAACGATAAAGCAGGGAAATTGTAGGCAATATATGTTTAGTCATAAATAAACTATGGAACAAAATCCAAAAAAAGAAATAAAAGTGGGGCAAATAAAGGACTTCAACTTGCCTTCAAAAGTATAGGTTTATGCTCCCAGTGTTGTCATATAAATAAAAAATGAAATTTAGAACATTAAACTTGTAAAAAACACTCGTATTTATAGGCTATATATCTATGGTTAGGAAAATTTATATTCTTAAGGCATTAATTTAGGTAAGCGCTGTTAATTCCTACATTTCAGATAAACGCGTCCATAAAGTAAAGATATAAAGCTATTAAAACTATTTTTTTGCAATTTATAAACCATAGCTAAGTTTTGTAATTATGATCTGTATAAAAACTGTGTTGCCAATAACTTGCGATGCTACTAAATTGGTAGGATATTTGAATACTTGTGTGCTTAGAACTCCTGTATTTATGTAACATTTGGTAAGTTTTTAGTGTGGCAATATTCATAATGTTCAATGTTCACCAATGTTGCCAATTGAATATTCATATTTGCAATAAATTTTTCGTTTCCTTAGATAAATGTAAAGACTAGTCAATGTTACTGAATGATATTGTGTTTTTTTTCGTTGTGATGATATTTATTTTTAGTTAAATTTAAGTTTGAATTTTTTAGTTTTCATTTTCTTTTTAATATCCGCTATTTAACTTAAGGTAGCCATCATGCTTTAAAAAAACATTTCTATGCTGCAAACGTTTTAAATTAAAAAAAAATCATTGGTGTAAATCAAAATCGTTTTGTATTTAAGAAGTAAAAAAAAAAATAATACTATTAAGACAATAACATAAAATTTAAGCGTAAAATTCCCAATAATTAATTAAAAACCGAGTTCTCAAACATTTACATTGACTATGCTTTAAAGTCCTAACTAATGATAAAATAGGACAAATTTTATATCTAAAAGAAAAAAATAATAAAAATTAATACATCCAGAACTGTCAAAAGTGACAGCTGTCAGAAAATGCTCCTGTGTTGCCACTACTTTAAAATTTACTACCTATTTTTTAAGTTATATTCAGCGTCGAAAACCAGCATTTAGATATGAAAAGTCAGTTTTTTCTGAATGCAAACTTTATTAAATTCAGTACATATTTTACCATTATTAGCAAATACTCATGGCTTTGAAATATTTTTTAGTAATTTTAACCGACAAAGTTGTCTAAACGGGTGGACAATTGCGACACTAAATTTTAATAGCTCACTAGCGCCATCATTGCAAAATAAAAATTTGCTTTTATATTACTTTCTATGCAATCCTGCGAAAGCAGCGCCACTCGTGGGTTCAGATAAGTTTGTCGGATAATATTAATTTCGTTTATAAGTTTCGATCTTCCAATATAGTTGGATGAGTGCTATTTTGTGAATATATACTTAAATGCTTAGAAAATAAAGTCTATATTTGCTGTACCTCATTTTGTTTGTCATTTTTTATGTTGTAAAGTATGTCTTAACTAAATAGTATTAAGGTATAAATTAAATTGCATATTAAATTTTGTTAATAAAGACAATTTTTAAAATTGGAATTGATCTAACGTGGATCTTGTGATTGTATGAGTGACTGAAAATTGAACCTTATGTACTTGTGTATAGATTCGACAATGGAATGAAAATGTAAACTGTATGTGTACGTACGGGGTATATGTACATTTGAAAAGTCCAATTTTTATTATCTCTGTATAACGAGTAGCATATATATGATGTTTAAATAGTTGCGGTGAGAACGTTTTATACGTAATGTTGAAAAATAAAGTATTTTGAACAAATTGTTACTTTTATTATTGTAAAAAACCCTCTTAGCTCATCTCATGACTATTCAATAGAAGAAATCCGGAATATAGTACATTTAAATTATTTTCTCCGTGGCTATAACATTTCTATACTGAGACAGTTTGTTTCAACGCCATCTATTGGCAACAACTTGAATTATTAATGAAAGTCTCTTTTAATTTTTACAAAAATACAATAGATGTCGCGGGAGTCTACGTTTTTTTTAATTTCCTTATAGATGTCACTATGAACCAGTTGATAATCTTTGCATTGCAGTACTATATTTGCGCGTAAATAAAAAAAATCTAGTAATGAAGATATATAGCCTATCTTACTCAGTATTAGTGTAGCTATATAATGGCATAACAATTCTTGATATCGATCAAGTAGTTTTTGAGTTTACTAGTTACATAAAAAGTGCAAAATGCAAAACATTCCTCTTTATAATATTAGTATAGATAAGAAAATCATAGAAGTAGATTTACTCAGTAAAATTCATCCAAATCCAGTGCGGGTTGACTTCACACATTGAATTTCTTCAAAGATATGTGTAGGTTGCATCATCATGTAAGAAGTCACTTCACCGCAAGAAAGTCGGATAAATGTACACATGTAAATTGGTACATTGGTATACAGCGGGATGACCCCAGGACTTGCAGATTACAAGTCAAGTGCTTAACCTCTGAGCCGCCGACGTCAGGGTCGATTACAACTCTGTAATTAAAATTAGCTCAAATTTATTATAAATTACATCTAGGTTTCGCTAAATGCAATTTATAAAAGCTAATGCGAAACACTAAAACAAAGCCAATTTTTACCATTAACTTGTAGTAAACAAATAAAAACCAACTGTCAAACTGCAAGACAATTTTAATGATAAATAAAATAAAATTAAAAAAGGTATCAAAACTCTTTGTTAAAGTTTTAAACGTTCAAAGTTATACAAACATCTATATACTCTGTGGGTGTAGTCTATAAATAAAACGATCCCCCATTCGGGGGTTGGTACAAGGGCAATTAGGGGGCAAATTAGTCATTAGGGCGCTGTGAAGCGCGGAAGAGCCCCCGGCTACCACACCAATTTCAGAAGGGATATTGTAACGACTGAGCAATGGACTATCGCAGTTTATTTGCAATCTTACTGTTGAATCTTACTCATAGCTAATGTTTAAATGGATGGATATTTGTTTGAAGGTATCTCCAGAACATGGATCTGGTTGAAATTTGGCATAGATGTAGAACATAGCCTTGACGCACATAGGCTATTAAGTTTTTTTTTAATCCGCGTGAACGGAGTCGCGGTCGACAGCTAGTTTATAATAATGACTCGGTTTTTTTTATATTAAAACCGTTAAAAGGTTAAATATAGAGTTGCTTTGTGTATCTTACTAAATCTTTACTAAATGGCTCACTTAATAAATCTGAGTCTATTACATATATACTATGTATTCGCTTAATTAGGAAATAAATAAGTGATCGCTTATATTCGACCTTAATCTACAATAAAACATTGATTGAAACTCATAATAAAGTGTAAAAATGTAAAAAGATTTTAATTCTACATTTTTGTTCATCTAGGACACCCTCCATTGAAAATACCGCTGACTACAAAATTAAGTAAGTATAAAATAAATATACAAAATTAACTGTATTAATTTTCCTTGCCTTATTTTTGCTTGTAAATATTTAAAAAAAAATCTAAATACTCATATTATATAATATTTATTTTGACAATTAATATCATTGCCATCAAAATTAAAAGGCAAGTAAAGAAAAAATAAATACTGGCAATTCGTGTTAATATATGAAAAAAGAATTTATATTTTTATATCAAACCTTATTACTATTAAAATAATTCAACTAAAAAAAGTTTATAACCTAAATTGCCATAAAACAAAATAAAAAAGCAATATGAAGATTTTATGTTTTATTTGAAAGCGTTCAACAATTTCCTTATAACATTAACGATATAAAAGTAGCTAATATACTAAAAAAATCAATCTAAAACAAGCTACGATTTCTGCGCAATCTTTATCCGAGCTGACACATATCGAGGTCAACACGCAAACTCTTAAAGCATTACTTACCGTACAGCAAACACGAAATCGTCGCAAACCGTCCCAGTGTTAAATACCGGCCCTTAATTATGTCGTACTTTAGGCTATTAGTCGGGTTTTGACGATCGATCTTAACTCATGACAAGCCATTCTAAATCCTATTAACTTAATATTCAATGTCTTTAAGGGTGCTTTTTGTTTGGAACAATAAGGGTAGTATGAAGGGGATGGAGGTAGGGCTGACTCTCAAGGGGTGGCGCCGCGGTTGAGAGCCGCCCCAAAATGTAAGGGTAGCTTGTCAGTCTATCCAATATTGTTGTTCTGTACACACGCTTCTAATCTGCCTACACCATTTGCGATATGGACTGATAGATTTTGTCATTTTGTGTGTAACAAAGTATTATATTCGTGTAGTGTTATTTACAATAAAGTGACGTGTTTGTTTTAAAGTTATCGGACTGTGATTTGATAAGGAATTTGAGATTTTTTTCAGGTAAATCGATAATTTATTTTATATTTT